TATATATTTATATATAATGATTGTAAATATATATATTATTGTAAATATATATATGATTGTAAATATATATTTATATATAATGATTGTAAATATATATATTATTGTAAATATATATATATGATAGTAAATAAATATGATTGTAATGAAATATGATTGTAATGAAAAACGTCAAATAAAATGACTAACATCTGGCTCACGCAATAAGTGATAACTTATTATCAGCAGGCCTATTTAGCAGTTTACAAATTTATTGAAAAGAAATAAGTACTAGTGGTCGGTTCAACTGAGAAGATTGATGGTTTGAAATTGAGTGAACACACCTCAGTGAAATTCGTGTGCCCAAAGTAAATACCCGTCCTGGTGCGTACTACCCCTGATCAAAACCTGGGTAATTATAGCGTCAGCGACTGCTATACTCTGAGCGCCAGATTTGTCACATGAACATCTAGTCATTGTTTGATTGGTCTAAATACGTTACCAATTCCCCAAATCTACTGCTGAGTTGGCTGAGATAATTAAAAGATGTTTAATGAAAATCTCTCAATTTTTGGCTCGTTTAAATCTGGGTGAGTCATGTGATTCGCTAATACAGTAATACGCAGACAGCAATGAAGAAGACATGGCCCATGGGTCCTACTAATAATTCAAAACACATTATAATCTAAGCATAAGTTATAAGCACATTTTAAAAGATAAATTTAAACGTACGCACTAGTATAAAAACGAAATCAACACTACAATGCAACACCTGGCGACATATTGAAAAGGGCTAAGCAGAAGGAGCCGGGTCTGTAATCTCCTCGCATATTACTAATATTAATACATATTACTAACATTACTAATAGCTTGTATGTGCTTATCTGACTACCTGTCTCAAGATCACGGAATAAAACGTTACATAAACAGACACACGATTATATTAGCACTATTTAGAGCAAGGTCGGTCCATACAACTAGTAGTACTACCTAGTGCAACTACTATAGAGTGCAATTATGCAAATGTATGTCAATTGAGGAATGCGAACTGAAGCCTTTTTATAGTTTTAGAAAGTTTAATTGTATTGGAATCTCGATGTTGGGGCGTGACTAGCTGGAAACAAATATTGATAAAATACGCACAATGCATTTATAGTACTACTGTATTATTATATTATAGTAGTATGTATTCAGTGAGACGAGGGATGACTTTAATTATAAGACGAGGGATAGGTTGAAGTTGAGATGAAATTATTCCAGACCGGTGTCCTGCTCCTTCTCATTAGGCTTGCACCCTCTTATTCAGGGTCGTAATTACTAATTACATCAATCTTTAGTCGCCATAGTTTTGAGAAAAACATGACATCATAACTATAAACTAGAAGTAAAAACTGTAATTGAACCTATAATTAATAACTCCCTACTTGTGATCTGCTTCCATTAATTACTATGTCTACTTCACGCTGTCATTATAGCGGAGTGGGGTTAATGAGTTCAGGTGTCGAGGTTGTAGTACAGACCTCTCATTCTAGGTACCGGGCAACCGGCTCCATAATTCACAACTTTACCGTCTGATTGTGAGCACTCTACAGTGTTTTAACTTATAGGTAGGTTAGTAGTAGACATGGTGCATCCGTGGGACTGAGGGTGGAGGTATGGACAATAGGACCAATCATTGCTGCTATCAATAATATCAAGGTCTTTCTGGCTTCTGCTTTCTGATGAATAATCCAGACATTTGGGACGCCTCATTGAGTCTATGAATTGTAATTGTATCCATGAGTGGTTTTTGTACCTTTGTTCTTTTCGATAGCGCGAGTGACTGACTCTTACAGCTGCTCCACAAATACAGCAGATGCTGATGTTTGACATCTTGTTGGTGATTGGTGGGCGATTCAGAACATAATTTTTTTTCTCGTTTGAGTTTAGAATCAATATTTTGAAGTGTTTTTTCAATGGATCGTTTTTGTTTTTTCTTTTAACTTATCAGATCTGAATAGGAATGATAGATTTGTAGTTTTGGTAGAGTTTAAATGTTCAACACCCTTCTTAATCATGTAATAGATGTCACACCGATCGGAAAGGTCTGACATCTCAAGTTCAGAAATCCCTCTGACAACTGACCCCAATGATGACAAAGGAATTAGGGAGTATTTGTGGTTTTCATATTATATGTTCGTCTGATCTCGTCTTTGGTAGGAGATTCTATTATCTTAGCTGCTTCTACCCAGCCAAATGGAATACGACTTAACAAGTTCATAGTCACTGTTATGCAGCATATCGCGGTATCTGACCTGATTTCATGCTTCGCCTTTGTTCTTCCCACGACTATATCTTATATGGATACTAAAATGGATCCTGGAGATACTTTAATGAACATTATCGGGTACGCTGATGAAGTTATATTAGGAGCCAACACAATACTGATAGCCCTGCTTAGTATCAGCAAGTTTCTGATGCTCACATACCCCTCTCTGACACCAAGATGGACAATAAAAAGAGCCCACACAACTTGTATTGTTTTTTGGGTGTTTTCAAACGTTTTCCCAGCAATTTCTTTGGTCTTGGAGTATCAAGCAAGCTTAAGATTTAAAGATTCTTGGTTAAATTATCTGCATCTCTTCTCGGTTGGGATCACCTTAGTTCTTCCAACATTGATCATGATTTTTACCACGATTCTTCTCCTCTGTTATCTTGGTAAAGCCAGGAAAGTTGCCCAGAGAAGTGGGGGTAGGACTCCATACAGAGGTGTTGCTACTGTTGTCATTACTGCTATCATCTACTGCATCTCCGTCATTCCCTTTGCTTGGATTGACATTTACAAATATATGGAAAGTGAAGCTGACATATACCTTTTATCGGATATTTCAAACGGTTTATCCGCTCTTAACATAATGTCTAACATCTACGTGTACTACCTGACAATCCCTAGTTTGAGAAAGTACATCAGGGTAAAGATCCTGCGACTGAAACCTGGTTGTTTGTGCCTTGTGGGACTGATCTAAAAATAATTACTCTGCATTTGTGATATGATATGTGTATCTAAAAGGTACTAGTGCAATCCATATAATCCACTTAACGCTATGAGTTTGTTCACAGTTCAGTGGTGGAGCGGTAACAAGTTCAGCTGCGGCAGTACAGACCCTCTATCTTGAGAGGGATGTACCACCAGCTAAATAATCCATATGAACCCAACCGTAAGAATCATGGTAAACATAATGGATATCTGGCTCAGCAGGTGTAGCAATAAACAATCATTACAGCTCTGTTACTGATAATAATGAGGGGTTTTAGCTGATAATTCAGACATTTGTGACGGCTCAGTGCTGGAGCTCTTAACCCTAGTTAAAGACTTACAGTTACTGGAGATTGTATCGCTATGTGCTTTTTGTACCATTGTTCTTTTGATAGCGCCCATGGCTTAGTCCAACACAGTAAATATACCATTGTAGGACTGAACCATAAGTCCAATGTACAAATACCACTTCTTAACAATGGCCTATATTTAACATCTTCTTGATAGCTTTTTTTGCTATAGTCTTTTCTCCCTCTTTTCTTCTCAAACATCTAAGTGTTAAGTTTTTTGTTCAATATTTTTGAACGTTCTTTCCTTAACTATTATATCAGATCTTAACAACTGCAGTAGATTTGTAGTCTTGATACATTATGTAATTTGTATGTCTAATAACGCCCTAAACAGATGTCAGTGTCACAACGAATGGAATGGTCCAACTTCTCCACTTCAACCATCATCCCTACAAGTGTTGGCAGTGATGACAAAGGAGTTCGATATTCGTGGATTTCATATTATATGTTCGTCCTGATCTCGTCTTTGGTAGGAGATTCTATTATCTTAGCTGCTTCTACCCAGCCAAATGGAATACGACTTAACAAGTTCATAGTCACTGTTATGCAGCATATCGCGGTATCTGACCTGATTTCTTGTTTCACTTTCGTTTTACCAGCGGTTGTATCCTTGATCGCTAACAGACGGATTGTGAAAGGAACAATCGAACACATTCGGTGGTACGTTGATGAGCTGATATTGGGAGCCAATACAATTCTAATCGCTTTGCTCAGTATGAGCAAGTTGTTGATGCTCAAATACCCCACTCATACACCAAGATGGACAATAAAAAGAGCTCACATAGCTTGTGGCATATTCTGGTTGATTGCAAACGTTTTCCCAGCAATTTTCTTAGTTTTGGAGCATTATTATACAGCAAACTCAAGCTTCGAAGAATCTTGGTTGAAGAACGCAGATTTCTTACGCATTGGCATCACCATGGTTCTTCCAACATTGATCATGATTGTTACCACGATTCTTATCCTCTGTTATCTTGTTAAAGCCAGGAAAGTTGCTAAGCGAAGTGGGGGTCGGACTCCATACAGAGGTGTTGCTACTGTTGTCATCACTGCTATCATCTACTGCATCTCCGTCATTCCCTTTGCTTGGGTCGCCACGTACTCCTATATCGATAACGAAGCCGACATAACCCTTCTGGATACAATTTCGCAAGCTTTGACAGGGTTGAATATAATGTCTAACATATTCGTGTACTACCTTACCATCCCTAGTTTGAGAGATTTTATCAGGGTGAAGATCTACGAAAACCTCCTCTTAGACCTCATCCTACAGCTACTGAGAGCATGAGAACTTGATGGAGGGACCTCATTGCCATTTCGCTGTCGAATTTGGGGACAACAGGGCCGACAAATGTTTTCACAATCGATCGATAAATGATTTATTGTTCATCTTCTGGTTTTAAAAAAAACAGGATTAACTTTCGCGTGTGCAAATAATTTGTCTTTTTTTGTCACTTTCCATCTCACTGATTTAAAAATAAAATAGTGTTGCTTCTTTTTTATTGCGTGGTATTTACAATTTACATTCGATTTGATTTCATAAGTTTGAATTTAAATAATATGGAAATTTTCCTTATCCTAAAACTATAAGCTAGTTATCATACGAGACAACACGAAAAAAACTTGAAATTGATAATCAATAGGTAAATAAATCTTACTTGGTGGAGTGGCGTTCAATTCAGGGTGATGATCTCTCTCAATCTGCAACACCACCTCCTCATCCGAATCACCATGGTGGCGATGGTCTTTCCTATCATCATGGTTGTCTGCCTCGAAAACTTCGTCATCAGCATCGTGAGATGTACCTTGCCTCTTTTCGGGAGTCATTTTTGGAGAGCGAGACACTGCTTCTAAGGACTGTTCCCCTGTTACCTGATAGAATACGATGTCGAGTTTTTTTAATAAATTTTCAACATACAGAAGGAAATTGAGACGTTTTCATCTGAACAGCATCATATTTTAAACCATGTTAATTGTTAAATGTCAACTAAATTAAGTCTCACATTGACGGTGAATAGTTTAGGAGGTTGAGTGAAGACGAAGGAGAGGGTGTTGTTAGCGGACATATCCAGAGCATCATCAGTGATGCTGAGGGTGGAGGGACGGCCAGTGGGGATCTCTTCTGTCTCCATTATCTCTGCTTCTGAGGGGGGTATTTAGTTAGGGTGAGGGCAGTATACGCTTTAACCAGTGATTAGACTGAAGTTGGGTGTCAGTGAAAAGCATGTATATTATCAATTGAACAAAAGCTTACGCTTATGACGAAATCAGTGATACTTATTAAAGATAACAAAAAGATAAATGTAATTATAAAAGAGAAATAAACCATCATCCTCGTTGGTAGGAGTATCCTGGGTCACGTGGGTATCAGATGACCCGGGGGTCCCCAGATCAGATCTCACTCTCCTTATCACCACATTGTCCTCTTCTTCTCCTAATTCCTCTTCTTCTTCTTCCTCGTGTCTTTTCATCATGACTGAGGATAACGGATCTCTTTGTTTTTCTGATGAAAGGGGCTCCAATCCTAGAGAGTTATTACGTATTTCCAGTGCGGCCTCTTTTTGAAAAACAAAACAAAACACTCATTAAAAAGAATTACGAATTTGTGCACAGATGGAAATAAACCTGCGTCTTTGTAGTCAGGAGTAGGAGAAATGAGGTCGAATATCTCTGACTCTGAAGCGGACCTTCTCGGAACGCGCACTGTAAAATCTCCAAGATCAGTTGGTTTACTCAAGTCAAATGATGATCGTCTAAACTCGATTGCTGGCTCTAGAATGGGAGGAGTTAAAAACCAATACTTAACATGAAAACGTTCAGGTTGAGAGTATTTATCACCGAGTAGAATTTTGATACTGACATATTGGAGGGTTGAGCACTAGCAGATTTCAAGCTCTCAAACCCCTCGATAGGTAAATTCATAATTTGGTATATTGTTTCGCTATGCCGTAAAAGTAAATAATTATTTTATTTTAAGTAATTGTTTTATTTTGATTAAAATTGTTTTATTTTAAATAATTGTTTATACAATAAACATTGAATTAAATGGTTGAGAAATCGAATTCAAAACTCTTAACTGCGAAAATTTTCAGCGCGAATATTTTCGTCAAAATCCGAATTCGGACAAAGATTTTCGTAACGAACTTTTTTCGCGATAGAAAATATTCGCGACAAAAATTTTCTTTTGCGAGTTATTCAATTATCGTATCAATAACTGCCAGATAAATAGAAATGTGGAAGCACAATCAAAAGCAAATAAGCTGCAAAGTCCGGTAGAAAAGAGAAGAGTGGCTTCGAAATCAAATTTAAATGTATTGTATGATCGAAAAAAGCGATAAAGAAACAGCCAAATCCCGGTAGAAATTTTTGCGACGAAATCTTCGATCTTTCGTTGACGAAAATGTTCGTACTAAAATTTTCGTAGTTAATGTAGGATAAAAAATTGAAATAATTTATTGAACCGCTATCATACCTGCTTCTGATATCTCATCAACAACTGGTAAAGACAGAACATCCCTCAAAGTATCACTAGTATAGCCCTGAGTCCCTGATTCACTAAGCGAGGTACACGCGGTCGCGTACTCCGACGACCCAGAGGTTGGAACACTGATGTCTGAGGAAACTGGCTCTGTGCTCACGGGTTGATCAGGCCGGGAGTCTTCATTTAGAGTGTTCTGTCGTTGTAGTTTTTTCTTCCGAGGGAGTGGAGGACGAGCTGGTTTGTTGGAAGATGGTGCTTGCTCTGTGACGTCATCAGACAGCTTGTTGCTGATTGGTTGCTCTGAGTGGGTGACTGGTGGGGGTTTAGTCTCGGATATAATGTGGCTGGAGGGAGTGTCTGTGAGATTGTTACTCGAGGTGTTAGTAAGGGTGTTAGTTGGGGTGTTAGTAAGGGTGTTAGTAGAACTTGCAGTGGTGTCAAATGCTTGTTCCGACTCTTTTCTCTTCACGAAATTATTGTCAGTCTTATCTTTGGGATCTTTTCTGTTCTTCATGAACCAGCTTCTTCCTTGTTTTTTCTTGATCTTTTCTTCATCCCTTTTAAGTCGCTCTTCGTCGTCCTTTTTCTCCTTTTTAAATCGTTCTTCATCATCCTTCTTCTTCTTTTCCCGAACCTTCCTAGCATACTCATCCCATTTAGGATCTGATCCTTGTGAGGTTGGCTGGTCGGCGGAATCCTCTACATTGCTCGGAACCTTATCATCATTCTGACCCCTTATCTTCTCTTCTTTTCTCTCTCCATATCATAAGACTCATGTACTGATAAAAACATCCTCTTGTTCGGAAACTTCAGGGCTTTCCAGCAGAATCGTCCACGATTTGTGTGTATACCGGATCACTTTTAATGATACGTTGGATACGGGGCGTGTCGAGAACACTACCAGCATCAGATTCACTACCAGCGTCTTTTCTCTGGGAATAAGTTGAGTTCATTGAGTCAGGTGTCTTAACTTTTAATTTTTTAGTTTGAACCTTTATCTTAATTGTATTTCCCTCGTCGGGATTTTGAAAGCTTTCTTAATCATTTTACTCACACTTCGCCGATCACACCTCTGACTCTACAATCACACTTCACTCGACAAGCTAGTTATTCAACAATGCCAAATTGTTCACGGTTCACACATCCACACTTCACACGAGCACATCACACTGAGTCGCTGAACATGTTTTAGGTTTGAAACTTTTATACTAATCACACTTTTTGGAAAATGAACAAATTGTGTTTCCCCCTCAGATCTTGAACAATTTCTTTTAAAAGAAATTTCTGACAAGTTGATTTAATCAAACTGCGGCGCAGTACTGACAATATGAATCCACGACCACCCTTATTATAGTATCCCTGACCCCAGAATACCCCCAGATTACCACGTACTTCGGGTGGTGGGGAGAAGTAATGGATCCCACTCTTAGTGCCACTAAAAGAAGGTGCCTCGCTCGGGGCGCTGCTCATATCACTCAGTATGCTCATATTACTCATGGTACTAGGGGCACGCTTACATGGCTTGTGTCTCTGAAAGTGGAGGAATTAAACAATTTATTATAGAGGAATCATCATAACATTCAAACAATCTATCACTGAAAATGGGGGTAGTCCAACGCCAGCTCATGTCAGTTTTGCCTCTTTCCCAAATAACTGACATTAAATGACGTTGGACCCCCCCCCCCCCCCCCCCCCCTGAAAATTAAAATGCTTGTCTCTCTCTACCTTAGTGGGTGTTATCTGAGTTGTAGGAGGGTCAGGTACCCCCCTAAGATCCTCCCCCTCCTCCTCGTACTGTAGGGATCTAGCTGCTGTCTTCTGACGTTGTGGTGTCGAGGAGGAGGGTGGTGGTATGTTGTGGTGTTTGGGGGAGAGGATGTCTTGTAGCTCATTCTCGGTCAGCATGCTCTGTGGCTCTGGTGGAGGATCTTGATTAGCATGACTGTTAACTTATCCAACTAAAAGTGCGTATGAAGGTCCGGATTGACATAAACGTTTTGAACAGAAAAATACTGGAATTACTAAGGATTCGATTTTGAACGAACCAGATTCTGAGGTCGGAATTGCTAGAAGATCTTCAGTGCTACAGTTGGGAGTCAGGTCTTGTACTACAGTCAATGTGCTTCCTGTTGGACAACAGTCATTTTGATGAGCCAAGCTAATCAATCTCAACATAACATAAAATACTCAATATTCGGAGTAGCGGATTTCGAAATAAATTTTACATATCGAACAATCTAGGTGAATATCTTAAAAAGGCGTACCTGCGTGAGTAGGAGAAAGAGCAGCTAGCCCGTAGGAGGAGGTATGAGGGACGAAGGGGGAGGAAGAGGAGACTAAGACACGGGCAGGGGAGAAAGTTCCCGGAGCTGGGGGGTCTGGTAGAGTGTCTATAGCAACTGAGGGATGGTTAGGAGGGTTAGGAGGTGAAAAGTGAGGACTTGAACAAGGTTTGGGTTTACTTGTTAATTATAACCCGCTAGTCTATTTGAGCTCTGTGAATATCTTTAGTAGGCTTTCTTTAATCTGCTAGCAGAACAGTGAACTCATACATAACATGTTTTATTTGGGCTCTGAATTCGTGTGGTGGTAGAGGTGACATTTGTGACTTCACCCTTCACCAAGGACAACGCCCTCTTCGTCAGTTCACCAAATAAATGTGCATATGAGCATGAAGTAAGAAGTAGCAGTAAGCAGTGTCGTACAGTGCATTTCAGAGCGCACCTCAACCAATTCAAACAGCTGACGGTTACTCAATATTAGCAAGCAGACCGTTAAACTTAGGTCCACTTAAATGTCTATTTCTGGTAACTTTTAACCCCATAGATTTACTATTTACGTCTATTGTAACACAAACCCCCGAGATCTAATCTTGTGGAGATTGAGGGAAGGTTCATATGTTACCACCAGCGAGCCATCGGGCGGGTGTTACAGTAATTTGGATATAAATATTTGGTGAGAATTTTACCAAGCAAGTCAAGGCCAAATCTGTTAGTCGTGCTTGCTGAGTTTTGTGATTTGGAGTTGAGCTCTGATTGGAGGAGAGCTTGTGACGTCATCAGACAGCTTGTTGCTGATTGGTTGAACGAGACACGTGATGTTTAGAAAGTCAACAGCTGCAATGGGGCAAGCAAGCGTGCAGTTTGGTAATGTTTTGTAAGGGAAGTGTTGCATTAGCCTGACATACTGTATTGGTTTATCAGTTACTTGGTGCGATATTAGTTTTGTTTACTCATGATGATTTAGGGCAATTCTAAGTTTGATAATATTGACATTCCCTCCCCTTTTCTTCAATTACCCTCTAACCCGCTTACTAGCCTTGCAAATCAATAACGCCTATTAAATTATAGCGTAATGTTGGAAGTAGCTACATCCAGAAAGAGACAGTTGATTCGTGCGACTAAAGTTAGGAGAAGACTTTTCTTTTCCTCCGGTGGGTAACATTATAAAAACTATTTCTGTTTATGTAAGCTAAGTCCATACTTTTTATTAAAGCCTGTTAAAGCTTTAAAGGGTACTACACACTTCAAAAGTGTAAGCTAATTCTCTAATTTGACCTCTGCATTTAATAGCTCCCGTCCAAGGCTATCTTGAAAGGTGGTATTATCCAGCCTAACTCTAAATCAATAAATTAAGTTAGACTCAAACAACATCTATTTAAATCAGACGAAGGAGGGCCCAACAAGACAGTAGACACGACATGTAGCAGCAGTAGTAGTGGGGTATCAGGATCTCTGGACGGGGAGGAGGAGGAGGAACTTGAGGACTTCTTCTTGGAGGAACAGTTTGATTCTGTTAATATTGGGGACCTTAACAAAACCCCTGTTACTGTCGACCAGCCGAGCGCTCTTAAAGGTTAGACAGAGTTGTTGTAAATTTCCAATTATTTAATAGGAAGGAAGACAGTTTGATAGTAAGGTAACAACTAAAAACCTTATTTCCCTCTTTTGTTCTAAACTTCTTTTCATCAGTATATTTTCAATGAGCCATTTCCCACAGAGCCCCCATCGAAGAGAAGATGTAGAGATAAAGTAGATGCGAGAGAATGGAGAACACGGGAAGGAAAACTTCTATTCAAGATACTCCCTAGCTCAGAGGTGAGACATTAGGGAGGCGGCTGTTCTAGGCACCATTAAAACCATTCTATAAACTTATTTCATCACACTTTTTATATTGAGGGGCTTCTAAGAGTAAAGTATTTTTAAACGATCAGCTCTATTCAAATACTCAAACTTCACTTTTCACTTGCAGAGTTCGAATGTGATGAAACTGGACGAACTGAAGCATGCTCTGAAGACAAGAAGGGACCCACATGTTCTACGTAGAGTCTCAGAGATTTACGATGTGATGAAGATAAAGATGGCGGGAAAACTGGTTAACCTACATAAGAGGATCGAGAGGTAAGCTATATAACTACTTAAATAATTATCAATAATTATCAGTGCTAGCACTGAAAAAGTAGAAGAAACATACCGATCTGGCTTTGTTATCAGTCAGAGTTTACTATTATAAACATTGAATTGATCCTAATAAAACTCCATCAGAGACATGGAGAACCTGGACAAGACGATGTCACCACGAAGCCTGCTACTGGAGATCAGGAAGAAGGATGCTATCAAGGCAATACTGGGAGTATGGGGTCTGGACACCAAACAACACACTGACCAGATGAAAACTCCTCCTAGGTTAGATAACACAAAATACTGTAGTTTGTAGCTGTGGTTTGCAGTTTACTTTACGCACAGATCCTGCTTTTAGGACTTTAGGAGGGGGTTCGTAGTCGCATAGCAAACCTGTGTCTCATTTGTTAATGTTCTAAGACATCAAGTAGTCATAGGCCACTATGAGCATATTTCCAAATGTTCAATATCCTGGATATTCGGTTCCCCTTAGTTCGATATAAATTGATGTAGGTAACACCACCACATCCCTGCAGGATAAAAGCGAAAGTACCCCTCCAAGAGCTCACAGTTTTACCCGACGGTTCACTCATCCGACCAAATGACTCTGGATATAACGACACCAGCATCAGAACAAACAATCAAACAAGCACTCAGAACATAAGAACTTGTGTGGAGGGTTGCTCCTGCGCGGGTCAAGATAACGACATTCCAGATAATGGATCAGAGAGAGATGACACACAAACAGACACAAAAACACAGGGAGACTGTAATAAGATACTGAACGTGACTCAGCCTGAAGACGACGAGAAACAGGAGGGAAATGCTGTAGTTCCGAGGAGACCCTCAGCTAGTTCAGACGGGTCGTACTGCGATTGTAACTTTTGTCTGCAAAACGGGGGTGATCAGCCACAGCAACCTGAACCTCAAGATCCTTTAAAACGGTTCAGAGAAGTGCATGATGCTCCAGAATCGGACTGCAATAACATGGTTGAAACAGAACAATACGACCAGCAAGAAACTCATGGGTTGTCCCATCAAACACTACAACTAGGTGAAGAGAGTTACTCCAGTCAAGTAACAAGGTTCAGAGATATCCACCAGGAGACCTGGCTCAACTCAGACGACAGCATGGCCTCCTCCATGTCCTCCTTTAACTGCCAGGATGACATCGTAGCTAGCAGCCCTCAGTCTTATGACGTCACAAACACATGCGATGACGTCATGAATCAACCAGATGACGCCACAAACGGAGTGTCTCATGATGACACAGCACTGATGTTGGGATCACTGATGTTGCTGCCAGCTAGCACTCCCCATGTGTTGGGAAGACCTGTTCGGGGGCTGACTGACAGTATGGTGGTGTTAGGGAGTAACAGTCACGTGAGCAGACTGTCAGATAGTGAGGACGAGACCTGAACAATTAGGATAATCTTAAGACGAGAATCTTATCTGACTTGCAGTCCGGATTAAGACGTCAGAGATCGCCAAATTCCAAGAAATAACTTCTGTGTTGAAAGTCTTAGATCAATGAATGAACTTGATGAGAGAGGACTCAGACAATGTGAATAGCAAGCGAGATACTGTTATCATCACATTATTGATTAATATTGAGAAGTTGAACTTTATGAACACCCGTTTTAGTTTCATTCTATTTAAGATTTCAAGTTTGATAATTTTATGACAGTACCATATTTAATATTTATGACATTATAAAAACATTGATTTATTCTTCTGTTTACCCACAGAATGTCTCACTTTTCCCCAGTCAACTAAATTCACCACAGTCAAAACTCGCTCTTACCTTCACTCCCACTCTCCAAGTTAGACGTATCTGTGCTCGATTGCCGCTCTATTGACTGCCTCTCCATCTCTGCTTGAACAACCATGGCAACGTCGTCCCCGTCTTCATCTATCGGACTGGCCATGTTTTCTTTTTGATTATCAACTGGCTGAACGTTGTGATATTCCTGCATTTCTGAAAACGTTAACCGTGTTACAAGATACTAATCAAAACAATGTTATCCGACTATTTGGTTTAATTTTAAACAAGAACACTCAACTCATCTTGGAATTACGAACCACATTCCAAAGTGAATGAGAAATAGTTTTCTCACTAAATTATCAAAAGTGAGTAACTGACCGGCAAAGCTGTCCCATACACAGCTTTCATTCAAACTGAGATCGCCACTTCGTGGGGTGATTTTGGGGGTAGATTCTGACTCGGGCGATTCTTCTGAAGGAAGTTGGTCAAATATTAAAGGGTTTATTGTAAATTAATACGTACACCAAATTTGGAGAAAAACTTAACCTCTTACGACAAAAATTATGAACTGATATTTTCAAACTCTTCCTACCTTTGTTCCCTTCCGTAGTCAGTCTCATGACAGAGATAGCAGTCCCCCTGCTTCCAGTAGTCCCCTGACTAGCTACAGTCACATGACTACCCTGGGTGGTGTGACTGTCTGCAGAAAGTAGTTTGTTTCTGCGGGGAGGTTTGTTGGGTGTGCTGTTGACTACTTTAACGTCTGGGACTGCTGGCTGGGCGGTCGTTTTCTCTTCGTTCTGATTACTTTCTTGTCTAGGTGAGAGGATCTTTTAACTATGGTAAAGAAATAGGTTTAAGTAATTTAACATGTAAAGTTACTAATAAATGTATGCAATATTCAAAGAAATATAAAAACAGTATCTCTAGCTTACTCGGTATTTTTCGTAACCCCTTTCTTCTTACTGTCACCAAGAATCTTGTTCTTAACGAAGCCCCAGCCCCGAGATTTTTCCGTCTCAGGTGGAATGTTAGAGGGAGAATCTGCTCCAATTTTTGTGGTCTTCCTTTTGGGGGTAAACTGACCTTTCAGCTTGTTAGTGGAGTTCTTGATTGCCGATGTGGACACTTTGATACCTTGAAATGGGAGCGTTACTTGAAGTCTTTAGAGCGAGAATTGTGCTCCGAAATTGTTGTGCCCTAATAATGATAATTTATAATTGTTATTTCTGAGTTAAGAGTTTATTCTATTTTACCTCTGACGGAATTGGTCCGCTGGAAAATCTTCGATGCAGTTCTCTTGAATGCGCCATTAGAAGGACCAGGCTGCTTTTCTGAAACATGGTATTTGTTGGTAATATGCTGATGGCTGTTTGAAATGTTTGCAACTGAATTCGAGAGGCAAAAACGTGCATTCCAGCAATCTGCATGGCGCATAAAAAGGAGCTGAGAGGCCCACGAAAACAAACGACGCGCTCTAGAGCGCGCGCCGGTTAGAGTGAACATACGCATTGATTGCTTTCTATCTAAATTTACTAGAAAGTTGACATTGTCAACATTTTAAAACCCGCGCACCAGCTAGCTATGCAGGATTGTGGCACCAGATTTAAATTATGGTGTGGCACAGTGAGCACACCAATAAACATTAAACAAGCATATGTTTCCTTTACGAACCCTCGTATGTGGGCAACTGTAGACGTAATACATTTCATCGGGTACCAAACCCGTAATGTGAAGTTTCGCCAATCACCATCACAACTAGGTGTAATGTTATAACACTATTAATTACACGAGGCGCTGGCGAGGGTAAATTGGTTTAATAAACCTTCGGGGGTGAAGCCGTGTGCAATACAGGCTGGTGTTTTGTTATAGCACACAGCTGGGATCGTGTACATGTGATTACTAATGGGGAGGTACAGGTGATGCAAGTTTGTTTCGCCAGTTGACACGAGAAGAAACGAGCATTTATTGACAGATAAGAAAAGCACAGCTCTTTTTTGTCTTTTCTTTACAACTAACAAAGTGAAAAACACTAGTTGGTTATGAATCCTAGTATTCCTCTGTTGCCTACTCGACTAATGAGACAGATTATCCACCTCACTAGTCGTGTTAGAGGAGTGCTACATGTCTCTACCCAATTAGTATTGTATACAACTCTTAATCTGCTTCACACTTTCACACTTTAAGTAGAAGAAACTCAGCTAATATAATACCTGGTTCAGCCGGTTCAAAGTAGAAGTCCAGTTGTTTGGCTGGAACCTGTCCCTGAGCTCCTAGTGTTGTTCGTATCAACCACCAGTCATCATTCACTTTTTTGATAAGCTGGACCTGGAATAAATACAAATTTCAAACGTACATATTTTCTCGGAATTGTTCATGAGATTTAAACATACAAGTAGAAGAATTTCATAGGAAAATAGTGGGATGTTTTTAATTACACTATGATATAACAATAAGCTGTTTTAAAGCTACCAAACAAAATGATATTCATTAATGAGTTTTTCTTTACCTTATCTTCTTGTAAACAAGTAATCTGGTTAGGAGCTTGTGCGACAAAGTCACTGTTAAATACAAAGTAATCGTCTATATCCTGAAAATAATCACAGGTTTATAGTTCTGATCGTCTATATCCTGAAAATAATCACAGTTTTATAGTTCTGATCGTCTATATCCTGAAAATAATCACAGTTTTATAGTTCTGATCGTCTATATCCTGAAAATAATCACAGGTTTATAGTTCTGAAATAATCGTCTATATCCTGAAAATAATCACAGGTTTATAGTTCTGAAATTTTTGTTTGCCAAGTGTTGCAGTACTTCGGTCTACCATTTGAGGATCCTATCATAAATTAGGCAATTAAGAAGTAATGCTAAATTATCCAAAAATGTAAGTTAAGAAAGATCAAGTCACGGCAGAGGACAAAAAGGTGTACATTATTAGCACGTGATATTTAGATTCCACATATTCTTAATACCGTCTGCAAGCTGATAATTCAAAAGCTATGATAAAAGAAATAAGTTACGTATTTTGACCCATGTACAGTAATTATCATTCCTCACATATTTGCAGAACATCGTTTTGATTTTATTCAAATTAAATTACCTGTTGTCCAGAGGAATCCAGGGATAATATCGTTCCCTCTCCAACCTCCATAGTACTTCCTTCTGACACTTACATATTTTGACGGTCTTAGTTTTTACTCCATGGACTAAAAAAATAAATGATGTTATAAAGGACGTATACCTCGTAAAAGAAATTGTTGAGGCATGACCCCTCTTACTTATCGAAATCTGAGGAATTATTTAAAATTTCAAGTTTAAAACTGCATTTCAAAGAAGTCTCCCTCATTTGATTATAAACCGCTCTATGGTGAGCCAGTGATATTTATGTATTAAAACACAATGCAGTATACAAAACAAGTGATGTACTGAATTTCACATTCTAAAGATCTAAGACCAATAGAAAATAAGGAATATTGTAAAAATAGGTGTTTTTGAGGACTTACTTTCAAATAGCAATCACCAAAACTTAAAACTTGTAAATTGTTACAGTTAATAGAAAAAATACATTTACAATACATCATATTATAATCATGTGAAATAACATAAGGTCAGAAATTCAAAACTCGTAATATTTAAAAAGTATTCAGAAACTTAAGACAAATTCTGTGGCGACATATCACGCTTATTTTATTATTCAAAAGCCAACACAACATAATCACATGATCACTCAAAATAAATCCCACCAGTTCACTCGACCACCACGTGTCATGACGTCACACCACGTGTCATGACGTCACCTCAATCCACCTTCACCACATGATCCACCTTTACCACATCCACCTCCTCCTCACCCACCTCCAGCTCCCCCCTCTCCACCACCCCATGTTTAGTTAGCAGATGTCTCATCAGATTACTATTTCTATCTGACCTATACTCACACTTATCACAAAAATACGGTTTATTGTTCCTGTGAACCCCACTGATGTGCCTCTGAAGATCCCCCTTAGTTCCGAATGTCTTGCCACACTCACCACAGCAGTTTGTTGTATCTGGGGTACCACTCTCCTGTCCGACATGGATCCTCTTGATATGTGCCGTCAAGCTGCTCTTTCTGTTGAAGGTCAGCTGACAGGTTTGACACACATGGTTCCTCTGGTCTGTGTGGATGATACAGTGTCTGTGGTAGTCGCTGGAGTAGACAAAGGTTTTGTTACAATCAGGGCAGATGAAGGGAGGAGGGAAGTTTGGGTGCTCTCTTTTGGCGTGGTGTCTGAGGTTTGTTTCTGAAGTGGCTGAATACGAACAGAGAGAGCAGTTGTGAGCTCTGATGCTAGAGTTGTCAACGTGGTGCATCACTATTTTCCTCCTTTTATTGGGATTACTATCACATCCACTGAGTTTCGAATGAACATGTTTTATCATTTCTTTTTCTTCGTTTGTTTGAAAATTACATCTCTCACAATAGAAAAGGTATTCTGAATGAGAGTCTAAGTGTGGTTTCAAAGGATCAACAGCTTCATTCCCGTTTATACTACTACTGTGATACATCAACAGTTCATTGTTTAATGAAGTATAACCAGAATGGTTAACGTTTGGTTCGTTACTGAGTATGTTGCCTACACTTGCCTGGGAAACATCTTTCAACTTCATTGCCAGCTCATTTACACTGGTAACAAAACTAGATACATTCTGCTCCGTTAATGAATCAGGAGATTGAATCAGAGAATTTGCTATCGTGTTTACTGCAACTGTTATTAATTCGTTGAGGTCAATTTGAGCATGGTCAGTGCTGTTTGCCATCCTGTGACTCCGATCATGATCATCAAAACCATTTCCTACTTGATTATCTGCACCACCGTTTATAACGTGTTTATCAGCAGGCTGGGCCTGGCTACTCTCTACAGAGGATTTCGTATTAACATGAGCTCCTAAAGAGTCATGTTCCATAAACCAGCTAATCTAATTGAGGGGAATGAAGATTAATTACTCTAAGTTTCAAATAATGAAAGTTCAGAATGTAAAACTAGACCCAAATAATTTTGCTATTTAAAAAATGAAACAGACCGAAATTTCGCAGTTTTGGCTAAATTTTTGAACAGTGACCAATCAGTGAGGTCGGTGAGAGTGACACAAGTCGCCTTCAAGGTACTGGAAGCAATATATCCGGAGAAAAATTTGATGCAATGAAAATTTTGAATTCGAATTTCAGCTTTCTACGATCCAAATTTCACTGTTTTGACTGAATTTTTCTTGAATGACAATCTTACAAGGTCACTGAGGATGGTACAAAACACGATTGGGGTACTCAAAGTTCTACTCCCGAAGAAAGCTTTGACAAACTGAAAATCATCAGAATATAAATAGAGATTTTGGAAGATTTTTGAAGGAGCTTTTCTGCAGTCCCCTTGATCGAAATTTCACGGTTTTGACTGAAATTTTGACACAAGTCGCCATCAAAGTACTGGAAGCAATATATCTGGAGAAAATTGACTAGCAAATAGCAAGAATTCCCCTTTGCCCTGCCCTGCCAACTATCAGTCCATCTGCAGTATGACTGGTATGCAAAATTATCTTCAATTACTTTTCTTTGTAGAGATCTTCATTATCATTATTATAATTCAAAGAATTATTCTGTCTGTATGTCTGTATGTACGACCGCCCACATGCAAATTAGATGCGAAATAGGAATTTGCGTAGTAACCATGGTAACGGTATTCTAAAGCGCACGTGCAAAGATTTGCGAGCAACGTTTTTATAATCGGTTTTGTGGTAATTACGTTGTGTTCAGTGCAAGCTACATTTTAATCGGATTATCTTCGGTTGTGACGGATATTTGTTGATGCTATAAAAACTGACTACCAAAGAATACTATTAGCTTCCTCCCTGTGACCACAGGCTTTCTAGTTATTATATAAAATACATGATACAATTGTTCAAACAATATATACATTTGATCAAATCAAGTGATGAAAATGCCAAATGGCAAAGCACAATCAATTTAGGTGTTGAAATTAGCATAGCACAATACAAAGCTTCCAGGCACGCGCATTCCTTGCCCCGTTAGTTACCTGTCCTTCCAAAACCAAACTAGCAGTCAAGGACAAAAAGTCATACACCAAATGGGCATTATATTTTATGAATTGTTTTACATCTTTTTATTCTGTAAAAATGTGCTAAAATTAAATTTCTTGTTTCATTGAAATTTCTTGTTTCATTGCAAGGTAACAGAAATGCAGAGGCAGCTCGTGGGAGCTTGCTGGCAGTTTTGTTGGGTGTCCTATCGTGCTATACTGCGCATGATAATGTAGCCGTGCGGGTAATAAATCCTGGGTTGGCTTCTCGTGTATTCAGTAAGTGTGGCTGACCCCACTTCTCTGCTGCGCGTTGCCGTGTTGGGGTGCTATCCCGGCTCGCACGCCGGAGCTAACCCCCCTCCCCGGCGTCCGCGCGCTTCGGCTATTTAGCTATATCAGAATTGAAATCTGCAGTCGTTTTCCGTACTGTGTGTCTGGAAAGATAATTATTGGTAGAGAATCAGGGTTGCCATACCGCTCGCCCGTTTACAATTAACTATGTGTTAAAACTGCACGGCTTAGTTGTCCAAACGAGGATTGGACACCCTACAACACAAAATTTCACAAAGATCATGCGTGCGCTTACATTCGAACGTTTGAGTGAATAAAGAGCTTCGTACGTATTGCGGTTAGATATTTCCGAATACTATTAATGTTCACTATTTCTATTTTCAAGCACCAGCCACCAGATAATAATTTTAGGGCGTCCACGGACACCTGGACACCCTCAATAGCCGCCTCTGCGGAAATGGCTCATTGCGACCAATATTTCTGAACTTAAACAATCAAATATATACACACAAATTTCAAAACACATCATCTACTCCATCATCAAGGCAGGGATGAGGTTGTACGAGACTTCTGATAGATGTCATTTTTGATGTCAATCTTCTTTCCTCTGTTCCCACAACAAAACAAATTTAAGACTTGGCAATAATAACAAACACTGAGCTGTTGACTGTTCCACTACTGAAGCTGAACACAAGCCATGCCCTCAACTCCTCAGTGAATTACATAGAATCCTGTCTTAGCAAAAAACTGCATGTACTTGGAATATTTATTGATCTATCTAAAGCGTTTGACACGATCTCACATGAAAAACTACTTAATAAACTAGACAACTATGGAATACGTGGAAACGCCAATAGACTCATCGCTAGTTATCTCTCTAATAGATATCAATATGTCTCTGTACTGGGCGAAGAGTCTGACAAGCTGCCTGTTCTCTTTGGAGTTCCCCAAGGCTCTTGTCTCGGACCCTTGCTATTTATAATATATGTTAACGACTTATTTAGAACAACTGATCTGGGCAAGTTCATACTATTTGCAGATGACACAAACATATTCGTAGTAGATGAATGTAGAAAAAAACTGTATGCAAGAGCAAACGAAATTCTCCGTTTGTTACACCAGTACATGAAATGCAATCTATTACATATAAATATAAAGAAATGCTGCTACATTCACTTCAATCCGTCACGTACAGCTACTGATAATGAGGCAGATAACGAATCAGAATATATACTAACTCTAAATAATACGGTAATAAAGCAAGTTAAAGAGACCAAGTTTTTAGGTGTTATTATTGACGAAAAGCTAAAATGGGATGTTCAAATAAGAGCCCTCAACTCGAAACTTAGGTGTGAGATCGGAAGACTCAGTAGAATACGACACGTTATCCCGAAAAAACACCATAAAGAATTGTACCACACGTTATTTGAGTCACACCTAAGATTTGGAATATCGGTATGGGGTGGGTCGAGTAATAATATGCTTCAACCTATCTTCATCACTCAGAAAAAATGTATCAGAATACTATTTGGTGACCTTGAAGCATATCTAGATAAATTTAGAACATGTGCCAGAACACGTTGTATAGATGAACAAATCCTAGGAAGAGAATTCTTTGAAAAAGAGCATACAAAGCCGTTGTTTAACAAGAACGGCCTTCTTACCGTCCACAACCTGTACAAATACACATGTCTATTAGAACTGTTCAAAATTGTCAGATTAGAATCTCCAATCTCACTCCTATCTTTACTCCACAGATCACCATCACAAAGACGTTCAGACCAGTTCATCACCCCGAACCCATCCTCCTCTTTCATTTATCAATCAACAAAAATGTGGAACGACTGTCGAAAAATTGACAGTTTGATAAGCTTTACTAAGTCAACGAACTTAGTTAAAGTAACACTGAAAAGTGAACTACTCAAGATACAGTCCAGGTACGAAGAATTAGAATGGACAGAATTAAACTTTGATAAGAATGAGCTTGTATTTTAAAACAGAGTCCTTTGACTTTATTATTTTGAAATTGAAGAATCGTTCTGGCCATAACTCATTTCGTTCGCATTACAGATTCACATTCACTTTCATTTTCACTATCACGCACAGTACAGGGTCATACCTCAATACCAAATTATTATAGGGCACAAGAACAAATTTGTTTACAATTATCAAAATTTGTTGAGCCCAGCAGCTTACTTCCTATCCTCTCTTCCCCCGTCGTCTGGAGCGTGTGATTTTTGTTGATATCCGAGCTCTTGTTTTTATCTTTTGGTTAACTTTCTGTGATTGGACTCGGTATTTTCGTCCCCGCCGAGTGGGACGATGCTTGCTCGCCAGTTAAGCTATACTTTAGATGACACTAATTTCTACAAACCACAAAATATTAAATATAAAATGTGTCCAGTATGGCGCAAATGCATAATTTGATAATTTCTCGACGCTGTCGTCGGGGTGAGAGTTATCTGAACCAACTGCATGCCCCTACGATTGCGTCACCACTGGTGAGCAAGCATTTGTTTGTTGTTTAGTTGTGTTGGAAGGGAACATTACTTGATTAATTCATCCATTAGGATTTTAATAACGATGAGCTAAGATATACCGTTCATCTTAGACTATTGGATCAATCTTATTATATGATTAGATTTTATAAACGAACCTGGCATACAAAAGATTGTAATGCGGAGGTTGGCTGGCTCTTCTATAATAAGTACGACACTCCAACTTACAGAATGCTTGCTAGAGATAAAACAAAATATTATCAGACTATACATGCAGCATGAGTAACTGGTGGATAAGCCTTCGGTAAAAACGGATCCGGAAAAGTCAATGCGGCACTCGGGTCCTTGGTATTGTCGTCGGTATATTGTCCATTATTTACGTTCTGCTTTCATAGTTCAAACAATAGTGAGCTCTAAATATACAGTTTTAAACCGATTAAGTATGAATGAATGAAATACCTGACAATCCGCACTCCTATAATTCAAAAGC